CCATTAATGTCCAGTAATGTCCCCAATAATGTCCAGTAATGTCTAATAATGTCCAATAATGTCCAGTAATGTCTAATAATGTCCAATAATGTCCAGTAATGTCTAATAATGTCCAGTAATGTCTAATAATGTCCAGTAATGTCTAATAATGTCCAGTAATGTCCAGTAATGTCCAATAATGTCCAGTAATGTCCAATAATGTCCAGTAATGTCTAATAATGTCCAGTAATGTTTAATAATGTCTAATAATGTCTAATAATGTTCAATAATGTTCAATAATGTCCAATAATGTCCAATAATGTCCAATAATGTCCAGTAATGTCTAATAATGTCCAGTAATGTCTAATAATGTCCAATAATGTCCAATAATGTCCAGTAATGTCCAATAATGTTCAATAATGTTCAATAATGTCCAATAATGTCCAATAATGTCCAATAATGTCCAGTAATGTCTAATAATGTCCAATAATGTTCAATAATGTCCAATAATGTCCAATAATGTTCAATAATGTCTAATAATGTCCAGTAATGTCCAATAATGTCCAGTAATATCCAGTAATGTCCAATAATGTTCAGTAATGTTCAGTAATGTCTAATAATGTCTAATAATGTCCAATAATGTCCAGTAATGTCCAATAATGTCCATTAATGTCCAGTAATGTCCAATAATGTCCATTAATGTCCAGTAATGTCCAATAATGTCTAGTAATGTCCAGTAATGTCCAATAATGTCCAATAATGTCCAGTAATGTCCAGTAATGTCCAATAACGTCCAGTAATGTCTAACAATGTCTAATAATGTCCAGTAATGTCCAGTAATGTCCAGTAATGTCCAGTTATGTCCAATAATGTCTAATGTCCAGTAATGTCCAGTAATGTCCAATAATGTCTAATGTCCAGTAATGTCCAATAATGTCTAATAATGTCCATTAATGTCTAATAATGTCATAATGTCTAATAATGTCCAGTAATGTCCAGTAATGTCCAATAATGTCTAATAATGTCCATTAATGTCTAATAATGTCATAATGTCTAATAATGTCCAGTAATGTCTAATAATGTCCAATAATGTCCAATAATGTCCATTAATGTCTAATAATGTCATAATGTCTAATAATGTCCAGTAATGTCTAATAATGTCCAATAATGTCCAATAATGTCCAATAATATCCAGTAATGTCCAGTAATGTCCAGTAATGTCCAATAATGTCCAATAATGTCCAGTAATGTCCAGTAATGTCCCCAATAATGTCCAGTAATGTCCAGTTATGTCCAATAATGTCCAGTAATGTCCAATAATGTCCAGTAATGTCCAATAATGTCCAGTAATGTCCAATAATGTCCAATAATGTCCAGTAATGTCCAGTAATGTCCAATAA